CCGCTCTCCCGGCCGTCGCTGCAGTCAGCGCCGCTGCCTCGGTTGACCCCGTCGGGCCAGATGCATGTGCCCTCCTGGCGCGGGTCCCGCTCTCGGGGTTCCCTGCGGGCTTCCCCCGCCTCCTCCCCGGCCCTGCTTCTGGGGCCGCCTTTTATCTCAGCTGGGCGGCGTCTCCCGCCGGCGCCGCCCGGCCCCAGCTGGATATAAGTGCGGCTCACAAACCGCGCTGGCGGTCTCCCCGCACGTGTGTCCCTACTCGCTCCGGCCTCTGTGTGGGGTAAGTAGGTGGTTACTCCCCCCCTGGTCCGGCCCTGGGGTACCCTTCTAACCCCTGCGTCCCTGGGACAGTGTTTTTTGCTTCCCTGCCAATCAGGAGCAAGGGGCGGGGCCCCTCTGCCAATAGAGGGGTATGGGGGTGGTGGTGGGGCACACATGGGGGAACCTGCAGGATTAAAGGAGCTGCTGCACAGTCCACTTCCACCATGAATTCGGTAGGTTCCTACTTATTCATATTTAGTTGCCCAGCTGCCTACAAAGATGAAAAATGGGAATTTCGTGCAAGAGAATTATAGAAAGTAAAGAATTCCTAATAGGAAAAAAAGGATACAAAGAGAATGTTTAAATTGAAGTAACAAAGCATAAAACTCTGCTAACCGTAAGCACTAAAGTTGTGACAATTATTTAAAAATAAGTATATGACAGATTTAAGAAAGATAGAACCTTAAGTCAGCAGACATGAGAAAAAAAGAAAGTGGTACTTTTCAGGTTATTTGAATAGAAGGATCTTATCTAAGGATCTACATTTTTATAAGTTAAAAAAAAATGTATCCTCTTGACATGTCAAAAAGAGACAATGGGTCAAATTTTTGCTGTCCTAACTCTGAGTTGAGTGGGGTATAATTACCAGAGAATGTGTTCCAGTGTCAGAGACTTAAATAATGTACAAGAAAATTAACTGTGCTGTTGCAAACATATAATTGATGTGAACCTGCACTTCCTAGTTTATGAGATCGGTTCTCACCCTGATGAGAAGTCCAGTTGGTTTAAAGATTACTCCGTTGGTGTACGTAAAGGTTTTCACGGATGAGGCTATTGGAACAAGTGAAAGAGGAAGTGAACTACCTAAGCATAAGTAGTTTTGCAAAAAGGATTTTAAAGTACATTTTCCATGTTGAATCTTATGTTTGTTGTAACTATCTTTAACTTTTTTCTGCCATGCTGTTATGATTAAGGTCTCTGAGACAGAGAGAGAAGACTTAGAGGAATCAGAAAAAGTGCAACACTGGGTGGAAAGACTTTGTCAGACACGGTTAGAACAAATTTCCTCTGTGGAGAATGAGTCTCCTGAGGTAAAAACAAGCTCTTGCTTATTCATCGCTGCAATAACTGAATGCCTTTGTATTTTTTCCTGTGAACTCAGTAAGATTTCACACAGTGTAACAAAGCAGAATCTATCCCATTCTTTCCATTTTTAGCTTTGTTTGTTAAAGATTGACATACATACTGTTAGACATTCACAGTTTTTTTTAGGGATTGTCTTGTTTGAGAAATATATTACCATTGGTAAATTTGACCATATTATATCTATTGAAAAAGCAGTATGACCACAGCTCAATGTACTGTTAGATGACTATGCTAGAGTAGCTGGAGAAAAGCCATATTGAAGCTGGATACAAGGATTTTGTCACATCTAATGAACTTTTTGGGTAAGATGGCTTTAAAGAAGATATCCTGGGTATTCAGGATTTTGACTGCATCCTAGTATTAGGTAGAACAAAGAATAACAAACAGCTAGACCATATCCCTTTAAAACACTTACAAGAGAGGCTTAAGAAACACCACAAGAATTGCTTGCAGCATTTCATTCAACTCTTCCCCCTCAAAGAGAAGGACATTGATGGATAGAGACAGTAGGGATCTACATCCAGGGAGGCTTTCCCACCATCCTGCTAGTCTGGCTCTCCTCCCAGCACAGCTGCTTCAGTAGGAAAGCTGCTTTTTGTTAAGTTCCCTTGGGGAAAACTAAGGAACTGCAACCGCAGAGGGGACCTCGAGGGATTCTCGCTTGGCTGTTATTGGGTCAGCTTGGAACCAAGTTCCAAAGAGCAGCTGGGTCCTCTGCTCACGCTGGCCCTGGGCTCAAAAGCCATGTGGCTTTCCAGTGTTCGAGTCTTTGTAGGGTCTCCAGGAGAGGGTTGGGATTCTCTAAAGATGCCTCAAGCATTCAGTATTGACTGTGTCCATCTGGTGGATCTTAGTTTCTTTCACTGGTAGAAATGGTGGGAGCAGGATATTGGGGCCAAACTTGCATGCATTGTTAAAGCCTCCCTTTTTCAAAATAAACTTACTGTACTATAGTTGTGCTACCACTTAATTAGTCTATTACTACTTGAACAAATTAAACTGATATAAAAAAGCAAAACAGGATGCTTCTGATGAATTAACATAGCTGAGCTTTTAACAACACTTCTATAGCATAGCTACCACTAGGTATCACACATCCACTTAAACACCAGCAGTTCCCAGGGATTATTGATCAGCTAAAGAGATGTTCATTTTTATATGATAGTGGTATCTTTTGGTACTGAGAAATTTAGTTGAGAGTATTCTTTCGTACAGAGATTCACCTAAAGAAGTACAATCAAATACAAGTAGGATACATATCTCAATTTCTATAGAGGCAGCTTGTGCCTCTGTAGCCACTCCTCATCAGAGTCCACAAGATAGTGGATAAAAGAGAATATTGGCTGACTGGACTTTCAGAAACAGCTTGACCTGTAAATAATAACCAGAATCATATACATATAGAATTCCTCAAATCTGAATTAATTACTCACTTCTGCAAAATTTGTAATTCCTATATCTGCTCTCTGGTTCATAAGCCCCTCAGCGGCATATGCTTTGTACGGACAGTCTAGACCTTGTACAGCTGCATAGATTGTAAAAGAATGTAGACAGCAGAAAATCCCTTAGAACGACAAGCACATGAACTCTTCCCATATACAGCTCACATGCACACCCACACTCAGATATCTGAGACCTCACCTACATCACACATGCCATCCAGGTGGATGTATTCTGGCACATACAGGGGCTTCTAGTGCACAACTGAATTTTCCAGGATACCATAACTCTGAAATCCCTGCTATTTTAATTTTCATAAACATTAGTGCTTTTTAAAGATTCTCCATCCTGCTCCCCTTATAGATAGCTTTTACAAGCTTTTCTCCAGCCTCATGGCTTTTTAATTGCCTAGAAATCCATTTGAGAAAAAAAACTGTTGGAAAGCAAGATTTTTACTTTTGCTTTCTGTGATTATGCTATAGTTTCACCTTCTGAAATGTTAATTTTTTTTTCTTTTTCGGAACTGCATTTATTACAGCATTCTGTGCATTTTAGCTGAAATACCAGGGAGGGTTTTCTGTATATAAAAAAGCTTTAAAAAAATATATGTGCCTATTTTGTGAATAAGAACCTGAGAGCTTATAATACTGAGTTAGTTGCATCTTAGTACATGCCATTAGCTTCTTCAGAATCCCCCTCATGAGAAGATGCACAGTTAAGACAGATTTCTTTTGTCATTACACTAGTTGACAAGTGGACGGTCTTCTGCTTCTCCTTCTGCCACATCAATGCGGAGGTTTGCAGGTGGCCTGCAGCTTCATACCACAGATCTTGATGATATTAATTTAGACGAGATTGACAAGCCTAAGAAACGTGTCCCACCTCCCCCTCCGTCACCCCACACACCTTCTGCATCATCTGCAGCTCATCTACTTTCTTCATCGAATGTTCCACTTTCAAGAGGCCCAACCCCCTCATCCTGTACAGCTTCACAGGTGACTTCATCATCTGCTTGGATGCATGCACCCCAACCTCTTCGACCACTCCCACCTGCCCCCTTGTCTGCTCCACCTAGTGAATCTCTTCATCCACCACCCATCCTCTTAGAAGAAAGAGTGGGCAACCACAGCTACACTGGTGGCCCCACAGAGTCCTTGAATGAAGCCAAAAACTACAGTGGAAGATCTACTTTTGATCCTATTAGCTCTCAGAATAGTGAGCAGACCTACTTACGAAGTCCAAAGGTATAATTTGACTAATTTTCTCCCCTTGTTGCATATATGTACCTCATGATAGCAATGTGTACAAATAACAAGTGGAGAATCTACCTGTGTGTGTTCTAAATCTGCTGCATGCAAAAAAAAATGTGCAGAATGCATGAGCTAATAGTGCTTTTGTCCCCATTACTCAACAAATTTTAAATGCTAAGAAATCATGTGGCACATTTAAATCAATCCTCCCAGCTATGAAACTATGAAACTAACTATGAAACTATAAAAAATAGGAGCATTGTTGTTTCTAGCAGCTGTAGGTATAATGTATGTGTAGAGTAGAAGATTTGTATCTAGATAACTTTATTTCAGTGCAACTCTGATTTGTTTTTCTCAGTAATGCACAAGAACATTTAGCTTGAAATCAGGCATTCACTATTTCTTAATCTCAGCTGAGCCCCAGTAGTAGTGATCTTTTTAAGGAACGTGCTTAAATAATCTTACTACAAATTCAAAGAGTTTTCCCTTTTTGAAAACAAAAGATATAGTTTTTCTGAGGGAATATTCTGATTGATCTCTTATTGAGAGAGAACTCACTAGATTCACCCCCAAGAAAGATCTTCCATGTTGAATTGTCTTTAAAAAGAAAAGTCATACATTGAATCCCACTGTGAAAGGGAAAACATTCTGTGACTTGAGTATAACAGTGTTGTACTTTTTAAAGGACTGTAATATCAGGTACATACTGAATTTTTGTTTCAAAAGAAACTTCTGCAAATATTTCATATTAACTTCAAATAGTTTGAGTGAATTGTAACACTTTTCTGCACACTTTCTGCATGGAAACTATATATTGTGTTTGCTGTGAGGTTTTTTGCATGATCACATGGAATAATGATTTTGGATATATTGCAGTTGGGCAGGGGAAGGACATGCACAGAGGATCAAAATGACTTGTTCTCTCTGGAAATCAATTTAATGGAATTGCATTGGAAGAACAAATTATGAAACATTGTTATAATCACAGATAGATCAATGAGGCACTCTACAGACACAGTTTATGTTGAAATTTCAGTAACACATTGACATTAGGCGGAAACTAAGGGATCAAGTAAAGGAAACAGATAGGACTTGTCTCCCCAAAACATGAAAAACATAAATCTAGAAGTGGCAGTGTTCAAGTGATGTTGCAGCTGTTCATGGTTGCTCCAATAAAAGATATTGCCCACAAAAATCCTTACTTCCTGCCTAAACATAGAAGCCTGTTCTTTCCTTTAGAGGGGACTTGGTGGCAGCCTATATTAGGGGCATACATCAGGGCCTGGGGGACCATCTGCTCACCAAGGCACCCCAGGGAAGGACAAAAAATAATGGGCACAAAGTGATTGAAGATTGCTTCAGATTGGACATAAGGAAAAACTTCTTGACAAATCAAGTGCTGAGGATCTGGAACAGGCTCCCCCCAGGGGTGGTACAGTCACCTAGCCTGGCGATCTTCAGAAAGCGTCTTGATGCCCACCTTACTGGGTTCATCTGACCCCAGCAAACTTTCTTGCCCAAGTGCAGGGGGGTTTGACCTGATGATTTTGTAAGGTCCCTTCCAGCTCCTAATATTCATAAATGTTAATAGGAAATTCCTGTATAAAAAGAAACGTAGGACTGGTCAGACTAGACCCATCCTAAGAACTGGACATCTGTTCCAGTACTCTGTCTCTGAGGGTGTCCAGTAGCAGATGGTTTAAAGTAGTTGTAAGAACTCTGAGGTTGGCAGAACTCTTAGGTAGATAATATATCTAATTTTAGCGATTTAAGATATTTAGTTGGTCTAATAAAAGATATCACATCTACCCAGAGAACCGTCAGCAATTAAGATATACATTTGTGCCAGTACCTTTAAAAATGGATGCTTGAAGTTAGTCTTTTAAATCCTCATTAAGCAGCAAAATAAGCTGCCTTATTTTCAAAAAATCAATAAAGTGTGGATTCAAGAGGAGGTTTTAGCTCTTAGTCCATACAATATTAAGCCAAGCCAACTCTCTTTATATGTTCGTAATCCAGTTGTCTTTGCAGGGTTTCACACATGTAACTGGTTGAGGATCTGCCTCATTGCTGATTACTTTTTCAATAGCATAGTTCATATCTTTGTGGTGAAACGCACACATTTTATGTTAAGAAAAAGTTGGTGGGGGGTATATCCCATCTTCTGAAAACATTAACTCAGCTATTTCTGATTTACTGAATAAATCTATCCAATTTTTAAAAATGATGTATTATTATCCTAGCCAAAGCTAATGAAAAAAAAGATTTATTGTTGTGGCCTCACAAGTAGGCTTTTCTAATATTTATCCAAATAGACTTCCAGATCTTATCAGTATCAGCAGCTTTCTTCCCTGGCCTATTTAATTTCAAGTCTTGCCTGCTGCTTGCTAGTGCTATATGAGTGAAATTGCCTGTTAAATGTTCTTTGTCCATGAACTGTTCATGGATAAATTAAGAATTGATCTGAGATTCATAAGTATGATAATTAGCTCTATGGTGAGAACCCTGTACTAAAGCTATTATTGTTTAGGTTTTAAGAAACACCTCTCATATCAGCAAAATGACACCTGCATCCAGCAGTTCACTGGTATGTTATGTACTTTTAAGCATGCTTGTAGTTTTTATAAATTTCCTGTGTAATGTTCATTCAAGGAAATTAAAAATAATGGTGACTATAAATAGCTGCAAGGTCTGATTCTATCACCAAAAAACATGCCCAGTATATCTTAAAATTTATCAAGTGGCTTCATGCAAGGTACTCACTGCATTTATAGGATACTTACTCTGTAATATCACCTATGTGTGCCAGAGGTAGGGTTGGCTCACAAATTTTAAAAAAACCCTCTCAAGAGTGAAGCTTCACATTTCAAAGTCTTCCAGTAATATAAGCTCAGAACAGGTGTGTTCCTTGTGTAGCCTGGGTTCTGTGCATGTTTCTGTCCGGGCAGACAAACTGCACATGTATAAGAACACCCTGTGTGTTTTTATTACAAATTGTGTTAGTTTCACAGTTGAATATCGAACAACATGACAACACTTGGATTGTGTTAATGAGAAGGTACCTAGAGATTAAGTCATATTACAAGCAACCTGTCCTCAGAAAAGATGGTCAAATCTGTAAACAAAACTTCCAGTAATACATGAGTATCATGTTAATGGAGGTGGTTCTTCAACTTCTTCCTATGCAGAATTCACCAATTGCTACCCTACAGATGGTCAGTTAGTTTTCCCTTTCAAACTCCATATTGTAATAGAGACATATTGGCTGCTACTGCTGAATAAACCCTGAACAAAATGCGCACCCAGTTTAGATCAATGGTTATATGAAGTGACATATTTGGAATCTGTTATGGGCTTCCACCGTCAGTGGACAGTACATATAGATATTGTGTAGAAGAGAAGGCATTGATGGAGAATCTTTACCTCTCCCAGGGGCAGCAAAAACAGAGATCCTTCAGCTCACAGGACTGAGATGAGGGAAGTCACAGCTGACACACTAGCCCTTATTACACACCCACAGGCTTACCAGGAAATGTGGCATAATGGATGCCATAAATTTGATTGGAAAATAGTGTCTCTGTTCTGTATTAGTTAGATTAGATCCTTTAATAAAGTTCAGTGCAGTGTAGCAGTTGTGTGAAGTGTCTATGCAAAGTAGTAGTGCAGACATTTTTCCAGGATCTCATGCTGGGAAAGGTCTGTCAGTGACAGGAACTGTTGAATACCTCCGTGATTCCAAGAACTTAGCATAGAATCTTTTCCTATCCTCTTGAAGTCTTTACATCTCAACCATCAGTAGCTTGCGATGAACAAATTAAACAGAAATTCATTCTCTTCTCTCCAAAATAGTTTCTTAAGAGGGTGTAGTAGAAAATTCCACATTGAGAGAAAATACATATGCTTGGCATCTATCCTTTCTGGTTTTGATCCAAAGGTGCTCAAGATCTGAGTGTTCTCCACTAGGTCACTCTACAGAGTCTAGTCTCAGCAGTGTGCAACTCCCAGAGGTGTTGTTCTAATAATGGTAATCCTAAAATTTCCATGAAAAGTTTCAAAGACCCAAGTCTATGACTTTTATTCCGAATTCTAAAAATATTCCCTTTTTCTGTTACAAAACGTGTAGGGGGGTGAGGCAGTTGTAACCTGCTTAGCAGAAATCATTCATATAATTTTCATAGTAGCAGCTTCTCCTATATGGGATCCATTATGTTTCCTATAAGAAATGTCAACCAGACTGACTGTTGCTGGGACTGATTCAGGAGCTAAACCCATAGAGTTCCATTCTGAACTCATTACTTCCATTGACTTTGGTGTGAACGTTGCCCGAGTAAAAAGTGTAGGATGAGACTCAATGTTTATATGTGCCAAATGATTATTCCTCAATGCCTCTGGTTATTTACTGTATTGTGCAGAGCCAAGGGACTCTAACTAGCGTAGCTAATGTTTGCACTTAGTCCTAGGATAAGTCATTTTAAAATACTTCTTGTGGAATAATTGTAATTACAGACCTGGTAAAGTTTTCCTTAAAGGATCATGGTACATACCTTCCTAGGGCAGAAATGTAATACGTTCACAATTCCCATTCAAACTTGCTATGTGTTTATAGTCATGGTTTTAGAATTTCTTCTGTTTCTCATTGATCAGTTAGTTGCTTTTATGGGATAGGTGCCAAATACAAGGTTAAAATTTTCCATCAACGCTCTGGTGAACTCAGAGTTTAAGGAAAACAAGTAATTTATTAAAATATAACAGTAATTATACTGTGTTCTGGTTAGTTAACATTACAGGTCAGTTTAAGTACCTCTGAAACTTCTTTATATATTAGTGGCCATGAGTTCATAGCACTGAAGCAATTGTAATTGCATTGTCTCTGTTTAAATGATTGGTTTACAAAAATGCATTGTCAATCATAATGTTCTTAAATTGAACCCCTATAGCAGTTTGCTCCAAGTCCACCTACCCAGCATCGACCAGGGATACCAGTAGTCTCTAAGCCAGTCATGCTGCACCCTGAGTCTAATTCTATTGTCAGGCCAACAATCAAATCCGAGGCCCTGGTAAGCCTTTTGAATGTTTTATTTTTCCTGAGTGCTGCAATGTTGTGAGGCTTATTCTTGCTCAGTTGTCTTCAGAGGGTCAGAGTTTTCTGTGTATCAAACACACGCTGACTTCTTCTGAGTGATCAATAGAGGTAAGTACTAAAAGTCTCCATCTGGTTCTTGACTGAGTCTCTTTCTTACAAAGGCAATTTTTAGGCTTCATCTTATAGCAGAGTAATAAGCTCTACCTCAAAGGGCTTGTAGATATTCTTGGGGGGGGAGGGAAGGGGAGGGTTATACATTATATTTATTCTGCATTTCTGTGTTCATGTATCAAAAATTTAAATAAAGTCTGTAAGTGATGAAGCTAACAATGTTAAGTTTTGCCTTTACAAGGAAACATAAGCATATTTAAAATATATAAAACATAAAATAATTCTTCCCTTCCCAAGCAAAAATATATGCATTGTTAAATCGTACCCAGCTGTATACTAATAATGTGATTTTTCCTGTTAAGCAAATTACAGATAAATTATTTTTTCCCATCTGGTTTAAATCTAAATCAAGATAAGATCTTAGGCTGCTTACAGACATTAAAAGAAATAAAAAAACCCTGCACTTTACCAGAAGAAGCCATGCGTTACTTTGACCCGACTCTGTAGTGTCTGTATAGATTGGGTGCTTCAGCAGAGCTTTTTGGCGCTTTTATCTAATAACTAATTAGCTATTAGATAAAAGCACCAAAAAAGTCCCGCTAAAGTCTGATCTATACCGATGTTGGGTGAGCCGGGTCCAACTAATGCAGTGAGCCTCTTCTGGGCATGTGCTGGGATCAGCGTGGGAGTGCACCTAGTTTAAAGTAAAGTGTTGGGTTTTTTAACATCTGTAAGCAGCCTTTAAATTAAAAATCTTTTATCCAAATCTTGCACCTCTCCTAAAAAAAATTTTATAGCAAGGACTGCAAGTTTGGGCTCTTTTTAAAGCACCAGAGATCATGCATAGTTTTGAAGGTGAGGACTTAACCTTAAAGTCTTTACTTGGGGAAAAAACTCCAGTTAAAATCAATGTAAGTTCTACCTGAGTAAAAACTGGTGATCCACATCTGACACCATTATCAGCACTACTCACATGAGTAATCCTATTGCATAAATTAGAGTTGCAGCTCTTCTTTTTTGACAGCATGAGTGGAGCCGGTGTAATCTCATCTTCCTTGTAGCCAATGGAAAGTCTCCTAAACAGTGCAAAATGTCCCATTTCCTTTCTTTTAATTACAAGCTCATGTTATGAATACCAAATTCTTCGAAGTTAATGTGCATTTTGGCTCCAATTATGTCTTTTATGAAAATGGCTTATTTCTACCGAGGCTTCACCTTTAATAATTTATTCTTCTGTCACAGTTTTCAACATTACAGCTAGTAAAACAGATGCAGTAACCATTTAATGATTGGTTTTGCCAAAGACTCTCTGCTGAGGGCTGCTTTATTATACATGGGCTGAAATTACTATGCACAATATTTAGCAAGCTGATTTTACAAGACAAACATCAATTTCTGCCCTCACATGAGTTTATAATTTACACTAGTTAAGATCCTTCCAATCAACATATTCCTTTCAATTGTATTCATGCATAGGCAACACGTAGGGGGGGCACGGAGGGGCATGTGCCCCCCCGCCCCAAGAACACTGGTACCCCCGTGAGAGCAAGGGCTCTGGCTGGTAGCAGGGCACGAAGAGCGCCAGTGCCCCCCCTGAAATTGGGTTCACTGGAGGCATGGTGGCAGGCTGCTGGGTGGATACGCCCCCCGCCAGTCGTTCCCCGCTGGTGCTCCCTTGACTCAGGAGGCACCAGTCGCCCATGTATTCATGGAAGCTTGTTTAGCTTTGGAATGTGTGAAATAGATCATTAGTTCATTTGTTGTCCTCTCCAAAGCAATTTGAAATTGCTCAGGAGGTCAGTCATCCAGCATTAAAATCAGGGTAGAACATACGGTTATAAAATTGTTCCTCTGTAAGAGAGAGAACTTACTGTGTGAGCACGCAGCATTGACGTAAGATGAAAAGGATGCTCAAATAGTATAGTTGCCTGCTTTCAATCAGTCTTCAAGAACTAGAAGCCTCCACAGGGACCATTCATATTGCTCATTATGTAAACACACACATTTTCCAAATCTCAAAACTATTATCATGTTGCAGATGTCAGTTTCCTTTAGTCCCAAGATGCTTTATAACTAATTGGGAATTCACAGATGGAGGGACTGCATATTTTTCTGATGTGATATCATATTTTTCTGATTTTTTTCTAAAGTAAATTGCACTGTAAATTGCATTTGTCAGTCCTTCCACCCACTAACTTGCTATTATGATTTGGTTTGTTATGATTGTTTGTACTGGTTGCAGCTAGGTTCGTGATAAATTATAAAGTAGGGCTTACACAGCTATTTAAAAAGTGTGAAAAAGGAAGAAGTCTTTTTTTATCCAAAAAAGAAAAGCAGGCCACTCTATGCTCCAGAAGGCAAAATTTATACGGGCCATAATTCTGCAAATTTTAAATATTTATTTTGAGTTCTGTGCAGAAGGAAGAATGTTTATTGTCTTTCCTGATTCACGTAAAGGCTGGGATGTAGGAAAAGTTCAGCAGCTCCTTCTCTTAAATATGTGAAACAACTAAAGGCAAAATAGGTTTTCTTTTCTAATACCTTCCCCCTCTTCTTGCACATGGCCTCCCATATAAAATGTCTACTGTGGTTTGATTAGTAAGACCTACATAATGCACAAGTCCTTGGAAACTAATGTTGATGGATTAATTAACAGCCCAAATGGGTGTTAATGAAGCCACCCATTATTTAAATCACCAAAAGTGATTGAGAAATAATAATAATAATAATAATTATTATTATTATTATTATTTTAAAATTGCTGACCATGGGCAAAAATGCCTTCCATTAAAGAGGAAGCAAGCCTCCAAGCAGAGAAGATAGTCTCTCATACTTGAATTATCACATTAATTATATTCAGACTAGGAACTCTAACTCTTCCATCTGCTCATGAACATATAAATTATTCCAATTCGTGGCTGGAAAAACATTCATAGGAGTTGAATCTCAAAAGGAGGCTTCGGTAACTCTCAGCATATGTAAGTCTGGTAGCAGTGGGAATGGTATGCTTGTGCTGCTCTACAAAGTAGGGCAAGAAAAGGCTCCTGGTGAAACTGTTCAGTCTGGTGCAGAGAGCTCTAGTCCTTTGTTGGGATTAGATACAGTAGGAGGAGTTTCACTAAGGCAAGCCATTGTACCTGCTATTTTCTCACCAGTGATTTGATATGCAACTGGCAAGGAATATACAGGGAACAAAATGGGATTCTATAAATGCGTCAAAAGTAAAAGGGAGACAAGGAAAACCATAGGTCCCTTACAGAATTCAGAAGGCAATCTGGTTATGGACAATGCAGAGAAAGCTGAAGTATTTAAGGCCTTGTTTACTTTGTTCTTTACAAATAGTGGAGCTACATGATGACGAGTGCAGTTGGCAGCAAAGATAGGGAGAGAGACAACTTAGGGAGCAGGAAAAAGTGCAGCTCCCTGCTATAACTCATGGCACGACTTGGGTACTGTAGAGAAGGTACTGTGGAGGTTACAGTGAACTGTAAGCTGAATATGAGTCAACAGTTTATTCTTGTTGCAAAAAAAAAGCCAACAGCATACTGAGTTGTATTAACAGAAAAGTTGCTTGCAAGTCAAGAGAGGTGATTCTGATACTTTATTCAGCCCTGCTGAGGCCTCACCTGGAGAGGTGTCCAGTTTTGGCCTCCACACTTCAAGAAGAATGTGGACAGTTTGGAAACAGTCCAGTACAGAGCAACAAAGATGGGTTAGGGGTATGATTTATGTGGAAAAGCTGAAAAAACGAGTGTTGTTTAGTTTGGAGAAAAGAAGTCTGAGCTGGTGATTTGATAACAGTCTTCAAATACCTGAGAGGCAATTAATGAGAGGATGGAGACAGGCTTTTCTCTACGGCTGTAGGTCACAGGACTTGGTGCAATGGCCTCAAGTTGCAGCAGAGGAAATATAGGTTGGAGATTAGGAGGAACTTCCTGATTCTGAGGGTGGTCAAGCATTGGAACAAGCTGCCTAGAGAAATTGTGGATTCTTCATCCTTGGAAGTTTTCAAGAGCAGGTTAAACAGACACTTGCTTGGGATGGTTTAGCCACAGATGCTTCTGCCTGAGGAGCACCTGAGCCGGGCCTGAACTAGGTGACCTTGCAAGGTCCCTTCCAGCCCTACTTTTCTATGATCTTTCTCAAACGCCCATCCCATAGACGAGGAGATTCTGATGCATTTGCTAGTGTTACAGGTTCTTTCTTTCCCCTCCTCCTTTGGTTGACGTATATTTCTTGAAGGAAAAATGTGTTACTTCACTTTTTTCCATTTGGGATTCAAGACTCAGTTCTGTGCTATGGAGAGAAATGAAACCTGAAAAAGACCCTTGTTTCTTATGCAGTGTGCTCTATGGCAACTGATTGTCTTTTAACGATTCAGCTTTTCCTCTGTTTTGGTGGTGTGGTGCTTCTGCCAAAAACACTAATGCTGAAAATGAAGATGCATGTACCCAGAAGAGATTAACTATTTAATTTCAATTTTGTTGAAAATCTGGCCAGATGTTCACAATGAGCCTAGACCTTTTTGACTGATCCAGTGAAATTGATGATGGAAAAATTAGTTAACATTCAATCCTGAATTTAAAAATACATGATGTCCTAATCTATTTTGTAGGAGCAAATTCTTATTTCAGAGAAGACACAAATCTGTTTCCCTGATTTGGTATGGTTTGTGTGTGTATGGTTTATTTCCCCAATTCTGTCTTTTTTTCAGAAAGACTTGGAATTTCATATGGTATTGTGTATTTGAGATCATTTCAAACTATAGCTATTTTAGCAGGTTAGCTACCAGCTGCTAAAATTAATCTAGGTCTGAAATCGGTTTGTAAAATGTAAATAGTGCTGTTTTTATATTTGATTTAA